TGAGGGGGGGGGGGGGGGGGGGGGGGGGGGCGTCCAGCTTTTCCCTGCAGGCTCTAGCAGGGACCCTCCCTAGACCCTGCAGGCTGGATTCCCCCCACCTCCTGAGAGCTGGATCCTACTCTCCTTGGTACTGCCCCCCCCTCCCCCCCGCCATAGGGATGGGAGCTCTGGGCTGATGTGGTGGGGGCTGAGACAGCACCAGACCTGGGGTAGGGGCTGGGCAGCTGATGATCCTGCAAGTGGGGAGACCGGCCTGGGTGCAAGCAGGCCCCAGGGGGTGGTGGGCTGCCCTGGGCCAGGGAGCTGCATCCAAGGGGTGGCGGGGCTGCTGGCAGAAGAGGCACAGACCCCAGGCACTGGGGGCATCTGCCTGAGACCCAGAAACACAGAGCAGAGCCTCAGAAACACCGGTGTGGGGAGCTCCCACTTGGAAGCGGGGAGCCATCCGCCCCATATTAGCAGCAGGGCTGGGCATGGAGGGGTGGCACAAAGGGTTAACCTGCTGTGCCCCCTCCAGGAGGGAAATGGTCATCTCTGCCAGCATCGCAGCCAGGTGCCCGTGACTCAGAGGGCGTTGGAGCCCCCCCCAGCCCATGCCTGGGTCCCTGGGCACCGAGCCTGTTGCCCTTCTGCACTGGCTGATGCTGGGATGCATTTGCAGCCTTGCTGCGGGGTGGGTCGTGCTTGCTCCCCTTTTGCAGCATGCCCACCAATCTGCTGGCCAGCACCTGCCTCCTCCCAGCTGCGGTACCCAGCCTGGCTCGGTGCCCACCTCCCCCCTCCACATCGCTGGGTGTCTGTGACCTCGCCCACGCCAGGGCAGCGGCTTGGACCACAGCCCACAAGCTCCCCCCCATCCCCAATCCGGGCATCCCCTGCACAGGCATGGCGATCAAGTGCTTCCCCTACACAAGGGGCCACGGTGGGGTGAGGTGTGTGTGCCCCCCTGCCCGCGCCACGGTGGCCCTGAGCCCCTTGCGCAAGAGCAGGTGGCGACGTCATGGCCACATTCCTTCCCCGGTACCGAGCCCGGCACTGAAGCAAGGCCCAGAAGTCCCATGTTGGGCAACCCAGGAAAAGGGCAATGGGGCATAGAAGCAGGGGGTGGTTTTATGACACTGCGGGGGTGGGGCAGGAAGACCTGCAGGGACCACCCCCAAGAGAATTTCCCCCTGCCACGGCCAGGCCCAGCTCGTGTCTCCCACTGTGGTGCCTGCGGGGCTGGTGGCAGCCACACCCCTGGGCCCACGTCTGGACCTGCTGCACGTGCGCAAAGGCAGCATGGAAGGAATGCAAGGCTTGCCTTTGAGCAGCCCCTAGCCCAGACTCCCGGGCCGGAGCAGGGTCAGGGGGTCCCCCCATCGCAGCATGGGAGCAGTGCCCGGGGCTGCCCTGTGCTCACTTGTGTACAGCTATTGGGTGCCTCTGCCCCACTGCATGACACACTGATGGGGGGGGTACGGGCTTTGGCCCTTGTCACAGGTGCTCAGGCCTGGGGGGCAGGAGAGCCCCGGTCCCACAGATGCGGCAGAGAAGGGAGCCTGTCCCGACTAACCCTGCAGGTTCTCACGCCCCAGAGACCCGCGCGCAGCCCATCTTGGGACATCTGTCTAAGCTGCCCTAGGACATGTCACTGCCGACCACAGCCAGATTGCTCCTGTCCGCAGAGATGGTGAGATTGCAGCAGCCAGCGAGCGCCAGGGTGGAAATATGCATGCCCTCACGGGGATGGAAACAAGGGAAACAATGCGACCAGAAGCTACGGCCCTGGCTGGCGCTGGGGGGGGTTGGGGGGGAAGAAGAGGCCG